TTTGGAGAAGGTGCCTTTCCTGAACATTTCCTGAACTTTTGCCTAATTCAGTTTGGCCATTCAAACCTAACAGCTGAGCGGCATGGGTCCACAGCTAACCTGTTAGGCTTAAAAGGCTGAGAGCCATTTAAACCTAACAGCGGGGCAGGCCCGCCCGTCACCTATTATGTTTAAATGACTGGCAGCCATTTAACCCGTCACTTTCACTTCCCCCACTTCAGAGCAGGCGGAAGCAAAATGGATAGGTTAAACGGGTGCCAGGATGATCCCCCTTTCCCCCTGGGTGCAGCTTGCCATGGCCTGGAGAAAGCAGGTCTGAACTGGCCAGTTCAATTCAGGGAATTTTTGGCTTGGTTCGGGGAACTGTCCCAAACCAAACCCGGAATTTTTAAGTTCATGCTAATTCCTATCAGTATTATACATTATAAAAGTTTACCCCATATGGGTATCATAATTCTGTAAAACAAAGGTTTCAATTCAATCAACACAACACGTAGAAGGTAGAGATGTAAAACAGAGAAAATCAGATTGGTAGGTAGGGAATCATTAGAAAGCCAATTTATTTCTAAGTTTTACAGTTCATCCTTGCAAAATATATGCATATCCTTCAGTTAATAAAAAATGCATATTGTGAAACCATTCTATAATTGTGATATGGTAGGCACAGCACAGAAGCAAATGTGATTCTTTGGGGGATTCAATGTGGGATAATTAAGCTACTTGGCTACCTTGTCTTATCACATCCTAATGAATTTGTTGTTCTTCATAAACGTGCTTTGGCCCCAGTCACACGGGCCGGATATCACGGGGGGGAGGCATGGCTAATTGCCCCGGCACAGTTTGATCCGCGATTACGTGATCAGACAGGCCAGCGGCACACCACTGCTCCTTCCCTCGGCGCCAGCGGGTAAACGAGGGACCGGAGGGGAATGCTGCGCGCCAGCGGGATCACACCACGGGCGTCTGGAGGCAGCCCGTGGCAAACATTTACTAGTACCTTGGAGGTACTAGTTTTTAAATGTGCATTGTCGGCGGTAACCCACGGGTGCGCTCTGCTTCCCAGATGTTGGGGTGTGATCGCGCCCGGATAATCTGCCCACCTTCTGTGCCTCTCCCGCAGCAACTTTGCCGTGTGACTGGGGCCACACTGTGTTTTTTTTCCTGTTCTCAACATCCATGTCTATTCTACCAAATACAAAACCCACATTTCTTTTTATGTCTACATAATTAAACATTTATCCCTATTCTCTGTTATGTTTGCTCCATTCTCTGTCCTTCTTCCAATGTCCCACTTCATCAAATCAGTAATAAAAAAGGATTTAAAAAGAACAAAGGAAAAAATACACATGAAAAGATGCATCACAGGATGGATTCCATCCATTAAGCAAGAATGAAAAAAGGAATGTCAGTCCCCTCCTAGTTTTTATCATGGAGTCAACATGAAAAGCTATGGCTCAGAAGAACAAAGTGGCCAAAATTCTTTCAACCTAGCAATTTTAAATGAAGTAGATTTTATACATGGACTGCCATTTTAATGTCCCAGGAAGTTCTAGAAATGATACACTATCTAACCAGCCATTTTTTTTTCTTGGATCCTTGCTCAATTTGACCCACTTGTTTTATTTCTGTCCACTAGGCCAAACCTTTCTGTAAGCTCCATCTGAGCTGATACAGAAAGCTTGAAGTGCAGGAGCCAGGTTTCCTCATCTATATATATAAAAGAAAGTCCTCGCACCATAAAATCAATGCCCAGGCCAAACCATTGGACCTAGAAACACCAAATTCTGGAAGAGTGCTCCTACCATGACGTAGATGCTCGCTAAGAATGGATTTTTAGAAATTCGACCTCTGAGGTGGTCAAAAGGGGGAAAATGTGCTCCCCCCATTGATTCCCATACAGCTGCCAGGCTACTGCCTCCCTGCACCCCCCACTCTCTGATTGGTCAGCGGCAGAGCTCAGTGTTCTGAGGTAAAAAAAAAAACAGGTACAGGAGACTGCAGAGAGCTCATGACAGTTGAGGAAATCAGGAACGGCCAACAACCACCTGTGAGGTGCAGTAATGCTGCTGGTCCACCCTCTCTGATGGCTTCCAACACACTCCCCCCACCTCCTACACCTAACAGGCGGTTGTCTGTTAGGTGCAGCAGCGGGTGCAGGGTGCTTAAAGCCATGAGGGAGCCCCAGCAGTAATGCCTTAGTGATCCTGCCGGCCCTGCCTCCACAGTGGCTTCTAATACTCCTCCCCCTCCCCCTCCTACAGGCAGCTGCCTGTCAGGTGTAGAAGAGAAGGTGGGATGCTTACAGCCACCGGGGAGGTTTGCTCAGCAGGATTGCCTTAGTCCTGCTGCTGGCCCAGCCTCTCCGATGCCTTTAAATACAATCCCCCCCCAACAGCAGACAGGTGGGTTTCTGTCAGGTGTAGGAGCAGGGCCAGGGTACTTTAATCCATCAGAGACGCCACCCCAGCAGGATCACCTTAGCGATGCTGCTGGCCCAACCTCTCTGATGGCCTCCAACACACTCCCCCCACCTCCTACACCTAACAGGCCATTGTCTGTCAGGTGCAGCAGTGGTTGCAGGGTGCTTAAAGCCACGAGGGAGCCCGCCCCAGCAGTAAAGCCTTAGTGATCCTGCCAGCCTTGCCTCCACAGTGGCTTCTAATACTCCTCCCCCCTCCCCCTCCTACACTGGACAGGCAGCTACCAGGAGGAGGCAATTTAGGAATGCGGCAGAGACATTTGCACATAGTACTCCTGCAGTGCACTGAGCTGTGCAGGCCAAGTACCAGCAAGATCAACCTGAGGTGCTCCATGTGAGCAAAACAATCCAGGAACACAAGTAGAGAGGCCATCACTTTCGTGGCAGGTGGCAAGAATTGACTTAACAGACGACTGCTTCTTAAATGGACAGTTCTATGTGGCCTGCTCCAGAGTGAGCTCATCAAGCAGCCTGGTGATCCTAGCACCTGAGGGCAGAACCACCAATGTGGTCTACAGAGAGGTCCTTCAGTAGAGAGAAAAAAAAGTATGTATGTCTCATTTCATTTTTTACACTACAATCTTCTCCACTAGAATTCCTACAACAAATGTCACATTTCAAACTTCACATCTTCGGTATTATAACTGGATTTACAGAACTTAAATACCGTAGCAAAGCACGGGTATCAGGCTAGTTGTAAATAATACTTTAATGTCCCACATTTGCAGTCTAAACCATGTGGATCTGAAATGCTTAGTGTTATGGCTTAGTGTTAAAACAATACATGTAACTGAACAAATGAAATGGCACAGGAAACATTTAAGCTACTAAAACACTAGGCAAAATCTTGTTTGTTAGTACTGTGGGCTCTGTGGCTTCATCCAACCGTTGAATCATTCACTACAGAAAGCATGGCATCTCCCAGACCTCCTAGCAAAACAGATCAATTACCAGCTAGGTCAGTGATGGCGAACCTTTTACAGACTGAGTGCCCGAACTCCAACCTAGCGCCTCTCCAACCCCACCACGGGAATCCTCTTTGCCACAGAGTCAGCAGGCTGCCGTCCGCACTGCACCCTCATGCTGCATGTGAGCCACCTACCTTACCCCAGACAGGGGAGGGAGGAAGCGCTCCCATTGGGCTGCTGGGCAGAGGGGCGGGTGATGTGAGAAATGTCCTCAGGCGCATGTGGAGAGGGGGAGGGGAGCAGCCCGGCCCTGCGTCCCTCTGCCTTTCTAGTAACGAGCTCCAGCAAACTCTGTACTGGGGCGATGGCGCACGTGCCGACAGAGAGGGCTTTGAGTGTCCCCTCTGGCATGTGTGCCATAGGTTCGACACGACTGAGCTAGGTCATGGGGCTGTCTCCTATGAGTTAGCTGTCACAGTACACATTTTTCCTTGTTCAGGTGCTCTTTGGGCAGTGTGAACAGCGATGGACATGCACAAAAATGTTATTTATTTTAATTTATTTAAATAAATTAAAAAACAGAATTTTTATTTGTATGGTTTGGTTCTTGTATAAAGGGAATATGGTTATAGTTTGAATGTCTGTGGAAATTTTATAGGCAATTTCCATTGCAATGTTTATTGTACGCATCATACTTTTTTGCATTGTTTTCTAATTCTGTAATCCAGCTTTATTGCCTTGTTTATTCTATGGATTATACTATTTTATTATACCCATCTCCAGTTTTGTAATCATGTTCTATTGCACTGTTCATTGTATGTATTATACGATCATTTCTGCATTCTCTAATTCTGTAATCCAGTTTTAATAACTGTTCATATGAATCTTTTAAATTATGTTATTTGCCTTGAGTTTCAGTGAGGAAAATGGACTATAAATGAATACATAAATACTTTGCATTAATTTTCTTTATTGCAGTTGTTTTACCTGTTTGGATACTTTTTCCTATTCTTTGTTTTTCTTGGTTTCAATAGACAATGCATTTCTGTTTATAATGGTGGAGGTGGTGGATGCTCCTTCACTGGACGTTTTCAAGCGGAGGCTGGACGACCATCTTTCGGGTATGTTGTAGGGCTATCTTTCGGCTATGCTCCTGCAGAGTGCAGGGGGTTGGACTACATGACCTGCAAGGTCCCTTCCAACTCTAAGAATCTATGATTCTATACAATTGAACTGGACTCCCAGCAATCACAGCCTTTATCCAAAGAATTTCCCATCACATTCCTGTGATTTGTTGGACAAGCTTATCATTCACACAGATATAGATGTCTAGCCAGATATCCAAAGTAGGAGCTAACTCTGTAAACATGTTTATGGCCCTTCCCCATCGACGAAAATTCTCAAGGATAGGGGCTGTGTGCTTGTAATGGGATAATTGTAGCAAAGATACAAAGAATGTAGAAATAACTATAATTTAATGTCTCAGAAACAGGAGGGAACTTAGTAATTCCGGGACCCTGGGCAAAGTCCAAGATGGAGCCCCAGTACATTGACAAAGGGTCATTAAAATTTGAAGACAAAGTGGCTCTTCCAAAAAAAGAACATTGCCTTACCAGGAGTAGAGAATAGTTCCAACAATTGAAGTAAGTTTGCTATTTTCTTGTTTTTGCTTTGCAAGACCAAAGTCAGCTGCAATAAAGGGGGGGAAATGAATGTTAGTTTTCCCACAAATGCTTCAAGTTCTAGTTACTCCAAAGAATGCCAATTAGCAAAAGTTTACTATCTCTGAAAATGCTTGTTCATTTTTACAGTTTAAATCAGATGCCACATTATTTGTCTACCTCCCTCATCTACCTTTGACCGATTCTGCAAAAGCAGTTGTTCTGCCCTCGGTCTCCTCTTTCCCCCAGTTGTACTGCTCAATTCCCCACTATTTGCTGCTACAAAATAAGGATCAAGAAGACGTGGGGGAAATTGGGGAGAGATGCAGGTCAAAATGCAACCACGCAACAAATAGTGGGAAACTGAGCAGTACAGCTGCGGGAAACGGGAGCAAGGATGGAACGACTGCTTTTGCGGAATTGGTCTTTATGTTTTTTGTGTTTTCTTTTGTTTTTGCTGTCATGTCACAGCCAACTTATGTTGACCCCATAGGGCTTTCAAGGCAAGAGACATTCAGAGGTCGTTTGCTATTGCCTGCCTGTGCGTAACAGCCCTGGACTTCCTCGGTGGTCTCCAGGGTTACCAAGTACCTACCTTCGAATCGGCGGGGGACACATGGTTCCCAGCCGGAACATCCCTTGGTGTAACACCCCCCCCACCGCACCATGCCGTCACCCAGACGTGACGCCAGCACGCTGGGCATGTAGCTGGGTGACGCTCTGGCAATGAAGCTGGAAACTCGTTGGTACTATTGCCAGGAGCGTCGCCCAGCTATGTGCCCAGCGTGCTGGCGTCACATCTGGGCGATGGCGTTTGTTTTCCATGCGGGAATGTTCCTGACAAGCAGTATGTGTCCCCCACCGATTTAAGGTAGGTACTTGGTAAGCCTAATGGTCTCCCATTCAAATATAAACCAGGGCTGACTCAGCTTGGCTTCTGAGATGTGACGAGATCAGGCTACATTTCAATATAGAGGAGACCAGGTCTCCTGCTACAGTGAGAAATCTTCACAGGCCAATGGAGGGAAATGGGGAAGGCTTGCCATCATCACATATGGCTCAAAACCAGAAGTGATGTCATTATGTTGGGTGATGTGCTACTATTCTCCCATAGAGTTTCGAGTGAATCCTAGAACATCACCTTGACATGACAACATCATTTCCAGTTCTGTGACAGAAGTGACCCTGTTCTTGGCCCTGTTTCTCCCATCTACTTCAATTTGATCTATCAATTTTTAGGCAGTAGTCTGTAAATACCAATATAATAAATTTACAATTAGCTCTTTGCTATGCTCTGGGTCTATGCCAATAGCGTGGAATAGAAATGAATATTTTAAATATATATCAAAATCAATTTATGAAGATTAGAATTGAGCAGATGCCAAAACTAACAATGTATTAACTATGAAAACACTTACTTAGGCAACTTTGACTCTAATCTAAGCTACATCAGCTACTGTTCTTGGCAACAGCTGAAAAGCAGTAACTCCCTGAAGACAAATCCTAGCAATGTGATCTCTGCAAAGGTCATATAACTTTTTTTAATTGTCAGCAGAATATTATGTTTCAAATCTTACCAGAGGGCAAAATATTAAATTAAGCTCTGTCATGAGAAGGAAAATGACATGGTACCAAGGTAGTTGCTGCTCCCTTGCCCGTCGGGATTTCCCTTATCCACACTACCATGCTCTCCATCCTTTTCTGAGGATTGCAGAGCAAGGCTGTGGCTGTGGCTGTTGTTGTCTGTCTGCTTCCATCTCCAGTGCCAGCATCAGCACTGCAGCCATTGAGTGAGGTATCACTTTGCAGGCACAGAAATGCAACAGAAAAATGTACACTTGTGTGTTGCCCATTACATACAACAGTTTGGTGTAGTGGTTAAGTGTGCTGACTCTAATCTGGGGGAACCGGGTTTGATTCCCCACTCCTCCACTTGCAGCTGCTGGATGAGCTTGGGCAAGTCATAGTTCTGACAAGAGCTGTCCTTGAAAGGGCAGTTCTTGAAAGAGCTTTCTCAGCCCCACCTACCTCACAGGGTGTCTGTTGTGGGGAGCAGGGGTCTTTTGGGGCCGGAGCATGCTGGAGCGTCCCCCTCCCCCCTCTCTTTGCCCTCTTTCTTTCCCTCCTTTCCTCCCCCTTTCCTTTTCTTTCTCTCTTCCCCTTCTCTTCCTTCCTTCCTCTCTTTTCCTTCTTCTTCCCTTCTCGCTTTCTTTCCATCCTTCTTTCCTTCTCTTTCACTCTTTCATTCCTTCGTTCCTTCTCTCTACACACACTCTCTCTCTCTTTCCTTCCCTCTTTCCTCCTTCTGCGGCCCAACTCTAGTGAGACGAGGTTTAAACTTTAAGCCCCTTCTCTCTTCGCTCCCCCCCCCCCTTGCTGGGGAAGGGAAGGGGAGGCTTTTGAATATGCCTTCCCCCGCTTTTGCTTCCCCTTCTGACATCACTTCCGGTGGGGAGGGGAAGAGAAAGGAGTTTGTAAGCCGCTCTGAGACTCTGGGTGAAGGGCAGGGTATAAGTCCTATCTCTTCTTCTTCTTTTTCACATTTAGACCAGGTTAACTGGTCATTTAGTGCTACCTCTACAATCTGTGCTCAGACTCTGTATTAAAAGCAACATGCTCACCTATGTCTACTTTTATCATAGTTTCTGCACACATTACAATGTATCATATTTACTCTTACAAGGCAAAAACCTATACATTCTTGCTGGGAGAAAGTAAAAACGAAAGCAGTTGGACTTATTTCCAGGTACACGGTCATAGATTTAGGCTGTCTGAGAAAGAAGAAGTAGGATCTGAGATATCAAAAACTAACACAAAACTTAGGGAAAAACTGGGGATTAAAAGAGTTTTCTTGGTCTCCAAATGCTGCTCAAACCAATAAATACTCCTTCCATTTAGTTCAACCCAACCAGTTGTGACCTATTAATTAATCCAAATACTGAACTTTTTAAAGGTCATTTTACATTAAACTACAATCAGCAATATACATATTTAGTTTTCAAAGGTCAAAATTATACCCCTTAGGTTTGGACTGGAGCTCATAATGACACAAAGGGATGGAAACTTAAGACTGGAATATGATGTCACCTGTGGTATTTGCTTTCAGAACTGACAGCTTCACATTACATCATGCTAATACCATGGCACATAGGGAGAATTAAATATTGTAACATATTCCTTGTCTCATTCTCTCCCCCCCCCCCCAAGCCAGTATGTAATAGTATAAACTTCTATTAGCAGCCTTTCAGGTACTCAATATTAAGCAATTTTTTTTAAAAAAAATGAGATGAAGTAGAACATTTAAAGGAGCATACTTATAAGCATACTGGTAGATTCTTCAAAGTGTAATTTTGAACTATTATAATTTGTGTTACCTCAGTTTACTGCAGTCTGAATAATTTCTTCCCTATGTTCCTGTCAACCAACTGACCATGCTGGAGTCTTTAGGTCAGGTCTGACTACCCAATATATTTTTTCAAGTACATTGCCAGGTCAGGTCGACAGCCATGATTTACGAAGGCCATCCTTCCCAGATGAGAGTGGGCTCTATTCAGAGGAATACCATGGCACATAGGGAGAACAGGCTTCAGCCTTCTCGCGAGGCTATTTTTTCTGATCTGAAACAGCTCTGAGGAGCAACTCTTCATCCTGTCAGGAAAGCTTAGCCTGTACTGGTAGACAACATGTGAAGTCACTTCCCCTGACACAGCACTGTCCCAACCAAAACCAGGCCTATGTATGCCTGTAAAGCATATAATTCCAAGACTACACCTGTCAACTCAAACTGGGGATGTAACTTGAAAAAATGTATAATTATGGCCACAGAACAGCTGAATCCAAAGCTGTGTCACTTTTTCTTGCTGTTCATTTAGTGTTTGTTTGGTTCTATCAGAATGTTATTTCAGAAATTGCCACCACCGTCAATTTGACTGGGTGAATATTTTAATAAATCATAAAAATTTGATGTAGGATATTTTCAAACATGTGGATTTCTTAATACTATCTGAAATGTTAGCCCTTTGGAAAGACTATAACAGAAGGCCATGTGGATGTTTGAAACACTTCTTTTATTTTAAAAAAATACAGATATGATTCTAACACATCACAGAAAGACAGAACTGAGATATGTGCCAAAACAAATAACACCCTCAAGTGGAATTCAAATTAAGACTTAAGATGTGATGTTCATCCAGTGACCTTTTGCACCATTTGCTACTTTGGAGCTTTGTGACTGAAAATAACAAGAAACAACGTTTGTTAATTGTTTCTCACATTATATATGTAACAGCCACTTGAGACAGAAAGGCTTTCACACTTGGCTGCTGCAAAAGGTGAGGACAGGTGGGATGTTTCAAGTATAATTTGAACATATTTTTGCTGTCCTGAAAACCAGCAGGCATTTGTTTGACCCACTGTGGCTGCAGTCACACGGACGGAGCATTAGCCATGCTACAGAGACGGAAGATAGGCGGATTTTCCGGGCGCGATCAAACTGCAACATCTGGGAAGCGTAGAGCTCCCGTGGCTAACCCGAGGCTTCCCGCCGAAGATGCGCCGTAAAAAACTAGTACCTCTGAGGTACTAGTTTCCGGAAACTGCGGGGCAAGGGTGGGCGTCTGATCACCTGACCTTTTTCTGACAGAAAGGAAATGTGAAGAACTATACCCCTGCCACCCTACTGCTCCCAGAGAGAGCCAGTGTGGTGTAGTAGTTAAGAGTATTTTCTGGTGGTAGCTCGTGGCATCCGGCACCCACCCATGTCCCGTTGCGAAAAGGGGTTTTTCCCCAAGTCTCCACGGGATGCGCACAAGCACCCAACGGCGCATGCGCACCCTTCAGTAAAAAAAAAACCCACAACCCCCGCCGCGCCGCTTCTTTGCCGCGCTGCAGGATTGACGTATGATTGGCTCCTTCCCCCCGAACCACGGGACGTCGGCTGGACGTTTGATCCGGCGGCCGCGCGGTAGTTTGCTCCGGGGCAAACAGCCATGCCTCCCCCCCGCGATATCCGGCCCGTGTGACCGGGGC